GCGCATGTCGAAATCTGTCGAACGCCCTTGCGCGTGTGCCGCCGCGAGAATCCTTTGCAAAAAACGGGACGAAGTGCAGACGCGCGCGTCGTCGCGCGCGTAAGCCGACAACCTTCAAAAACCATCGGTTTCGGAAGGATTTCAAAATCGTGTGTCCAAAAAACATACAAAACACACATGGTTTCGCAACACGGATTTTCAACAAAAGCGTGCGCGCGCGCTCTTGCGTCGTCGTCGTCGTCGTCGCCGTCCTCCCTCCTCCCGCGTCGGTGTCGTCGTCGTCGTCGTCGTCGCCTACGTCGTCCTCTGTCTTTCCTCGTGTTCGTCGTCGTCGTCCTCTTTGGCGTCGTGGTCGTTTCCGTCGTCGTTGTCGCCGTGGTCGTCCTTCCTCCTCCTCCCTCGTCGTCGTCGTCGTCCGTCGTCGGCGTCTCGTCGTCGTCCCTCCTATTTCGTCGCCGTCGTCGTCGTCGTGTCGTCGTCGTCGTTTTCTCTCCTCCCTCGTCGTTGTCGTCGTCGGCGTCGCCGTCCTTCCTCCTTCTTCGTCGTTCGCGTCGTCGCCGTCCTCCCTCCTCCCTCGTCGTTGCCGTCGTTGTCGCCGTCGTCGTCCTCCCTCCTCCCTCGTCGTCGTCTTCGTTGGCGACGTCGTCGTCGTCGTCTTCGTCGTTGTCGGCGTCGGCGTCGTCGTCGCCCTCGTCGTCGACGTCGGCGTCGTCGTCGTCGCCGCCGTCGTCGTCGTCGTACTCGTCGTCGGCGTCGTTGACGTCGTCGTCGTGGTCGTCGGTGTCGTCGCTGTCGTCGTCGTCGGCGTCGTCATCGTCGTCGTCGTTGTCATCGTCGTCGTCGTCGTCGTCGGCGTCGGCGTCGTCGTCGTCGTCGTCGGTGTCGTCGTCGTCGTCGTTGTCGGCGTCGTCGAAGTCGTTGGAGACGTCGTCGGTATCGTCGTACTCGTTGTCGGCGTCGTCGTCGTTGTCGCTGTCGTCGTCGGCGTCGCTGTCGTTGCCAAGTGCCATTTGGTACCCACCGTCACGGTCTTAAAAGATTTTGCAAACCAAGTAGCGGGTGGGTGGGTGGGATGTTTGCGCGAGCAGTGGGGTGGACAACTCACTGCGAGCAGAAATTAATTCTCCTTTCTGAAAAGAGAATAGATTCTACCCCCCCCCCCGGACTTAACGCTTCCCCCTGGGATAGAAAAATTTCACACACATATATATATATATGTATTCTGCACACTCGTCCATCCGAAATATGAAATCATATCATCCCAGCCAAGCCGGTATCCCCCCCTGAGGTTCCCTTGAAAAACACTATGCGGTGACATTTTTGGCTCTAACATAACACTTGTTCGCGAATCCCTTGCAAAAAATGAAACGAAGTGCACACGCGCGCGTCGTCGCGCGCGCATGCCGAAATCCTTCAAAAAACCCTCGATGCGGGAAGGATTTCGCAATCGAGTTCCCCAAAAACATACAAAAACACATGGTTTCGCAACACAGAGTTGCTAAAACAACTTCCGCGAAAGCTCTTGCGAAATCCTAAGAAAACCGTAGGGTTTTCAAGATTTTCACAATGCTACCAAACGGGCTTCGCGCGCGCTCATGTCGAAATCTGTCGAACGCCCTTGCGCGTGTGCCGTCGCGAGATCCCCTGCAAAATACTGGGACGAAGTGCAGACGCGTGCGTCGTCGCGCGCGTATTCCGAAAACCTTCAAAACCCATCGGTTTCGGAAGGATTTCAAAATCGTGTGCCCAAAAAGCATACAAAACACACAAGGTTTCGCAACACGGATTTTCAACAAAAGCGTGCGCGCGCGCTCTTGCGTCGTCGTCGTCGTCGTCGCCGTCCTCCTCCTCCCGCGTCGTTGTCGTCGTCGTCGTAGCCTACGTCGTCCTCTGCCTTTCCTCGTGTTCGTCGTCGTCGTCCTCTTTGGCGTCGTGGTCGTTTGCGTCGTCGTTGTCGCCGTGGTCGTCCTTCCTCCTCCTCCCTCGTCGTCGTCGTCGTCCGTCGTCGGCGTCTCGGCGTCGTCCCTCCTATTTCGTCGCCGTCGTCGTCGTCGTCGTCGTCTTCCCTCCTCTCTCGTCGTTGTCGTCGTCGGCGTCGCCGTCCTCCCTCCTTCTTCGTCGTTCGCGTCGTCGCCGTCCTCCCTCCTCCCTCGTCGTTGTCGTTGTCGCCGTCGTCGTCCTCCCTCCTCACTCGCCGTCGTCGTCTTCGTTAGTGACGTCGTCGTCGTCTTCGTCGCCGTCGTCGGCGTCGTCGTCGTCGTCGCCATCGGCGTCGTCGTCGTCCGCGTCGTCGTCGTCGTCGTCGGCGTCGTCGCCGTCGTCGCCGTCGGCGTCGTCATCGTCGTCGTCGGCGTCGGCGTCGTCGTCGTCGTCGGCGTCGTCATTGTCGTCGTCGGTGTCGCCGCCGTCGTCGTCGTCGTCATCGTCGTCGGCGTCGTCGTCGCCGTCGTCGTCGTCGGCGTCGTCATCGTCGTCGGCGTCGTCGTCGCCGTCGTCGTCGTCGGCGTCGTCATTGTCGTCGTCGGTGTCGCCGCCGTCGTCGTCGTCGTCGAAGTCGTCGGAGCCGTCGTCGGTGTCGTCGTAGTCGTCGTCGGCGACGTTTTCGTCGTCGTTGTTGTCGCTGTCGTCGTCGGCGTCGCTGTCGTCGCCAAGAGCCATTTGGTATCCACCGTCGTGGTCTGAAAATGTCTTGCGACCAAGTTGCGGGTGGGAGGGTGGGATGTTTGCACGAGCAGTGGAGAGGACAGCTTCAAGACAATCGAAGTGGGTTGCACCACATAGATTGCACCACGCAGCTCAAACCACACGTGCGCCATTACGCCACATATATTTGACCAGCAAGGTTGTACCACGTGTATCGCGCCACATAAATTGCACCACGTAATTTAGACCACGCTTATAGCACCACATATCTTAGAGCTCATTTATGGCAGCACGTAGATTGCACCAACTACGCACAGCACCACCTGGCATGCTAATACACAATGTGTTGGGTCCGCGCTGGCTAACACCGTGGTTGCTGGCTGCCGCACGTGCCCCATGCGCGCGTGCCCTATAGGCGGTGTGCTGTGATGCACGACGTAATGCGATTTCTGGTTGCCGCCCTGGTGCTCTATGGTATGGTGGCCAGCCCTGCCATGTCCCAGTTGCTGGGGTTTCTGGTTGGCGCCCTGGTGCCCGAATCGCGGTGGCCAACGGCTGGTGCACTGCTATGCCCACAAGTGTCGCCGTTTCTGGTTGCCGCCCTGGTGCCCCATGGGAGATGCCACATGGCTGGCGCCATGTGATGCATCTGTTGCAGTGAAGCTACTCGCTTGCGAGCCAGGCGAGCGAGAGCCTACCTACTGGGGCCCACGCTGGTCACCCGTAGTAAGACCGCAAAAAGACACCCACACGTACATGCACACACTCACACTCACACGCGCGCGCACACGCACACACACATACACACATACACATACACATACACACACGAACACACAAACACACGCACGCGCGTAAATACACACACTCGAACAACCACGCGAGCACACACACACACACACACTCAGGGCACACACGCACGCACACTTGCTTGTGGCGGCGGCCGCGTGCCCAGCGGCGCGGTGGTCACATAGGGAGGGGAACGCAAGGCGCTGCAAGCGAGAGGGAACGAGGGACCACGCAAGCACACACACACACACCAACACACAGCAATGAACGACGTATTATGCACTGCTGTGCTTTCTGCATGAACTACTAATCGTGCTTATACATATTTCCACCGAGCCCTGGTGCACAAAAGGGTGAACGACGTGATTGTCATCTCCAAAGAGACGCCCCTCAAGAGATGACGTCCAAACTCATGTTGCACATCGTGGCTAAGATGTCAAATCCAGAACGAGCGAGGAATCGACGAGGCCACTGGGCTCTCGCTCGGGCAAGGCTACATGAGCAACTGTCTCAAGCAAACTCCTGATTGCTTCGGCCATCGGCGTGCCGCTGTGATTCGGCGGCCTGGTGCAAACAATTTCTTAAAATACCTCAGAGTCTACAGTCGTGTACAGAGTCTGCCGAGAGAGATGTGGGCTACACTTTGACGAATCTGGTGAAGAGACACCAGTAGAAGCGAAGAGGATTTCCAGGTCCAAGCCGAAGTCCAGGATAGTTTGCCAGCAGGAGAGACAGCTAATTTCGCGCATCGCACCCCGCGATGCGCGCTCATCTTCGCGCCCTCGCGTGGCAATCTTGGAGAAGAGCAGCTCTCCGTCCGAGGCCGCAACGCGAGAAACGATATTATCTTCCAACCCCTGGGGGTGGCCTAGCTCCTCCGTGAAACGGACTCCATGGACGCCCCAGGATCGCCGAGAGACCCCCAGAGACGCACAGAAAGCGTCCCGGGCTTCCTCGATTCTCGACGTGTCCCTCCTCGATTCTTCCCGTCGATCTACAGGAGGTGGTCACCTCCCCTGGAGGTGAGTTTTCGTGACGCCGCCCAGACAAGAAGAGGTCAGCAGGAGGAAGGGCAGCGCATCATGGCACGGTGCATCTGGGCGCGGAAAAGGGAAGGAGCCACGGAAGCACGGACTTGCCACAATAAGCCGTGAGGGCCCGGAAAGATGGCACCAAAGCACCAAGACAGTCAAGTGATGCTAAATGCGTTATCAACGCGTGGCGCAACGGAAGCCGCGGAGAGCATTGGAAAGGGAAGGGGGGGCATGAAATCTGGAATATCCGAAGGCCGCTGCCAATATATCCACTGATACGCACACACACACACATTCGGTGGCAGCTTATGGGAGCCTCCCATATCTGTTTGCTCTTGCGAATCCGCGCTGCTCGGCGCTCGTCGACGCTAATCGACGCTAAATCTACTCCAATCGGCGCTATCTCATCGATTACGAGACGCGAACCGACGCTAACGCACCCTAGAGACGGACTTACAAGGGTATACCACCAAAACTCCCATGACTTGCTACCGAACGCCTCCTTGGATGCCTCCGTGAACAACACCCGCTCGCCTCCGCGTGTGGCCTGCGCACAGGCCGGGCGCTTCTGTACTCAGCAACACCCCGGCGGCGGGGGCGCCGGGGGGCACGAAGACGCCCGGCGGCGCAGACCTCACCGGGGGGCAACGCGGCTAGGCCAGGAGCGGTCAGCATCGGATCGGTAAACCGGGTCGGAAAGGAACATACATCGAATCGGGACGCATCAACACGGAGCTGCAACCGAATCGGATCGGCCGCACCAGGATGTTCAACAGCACGATGCAGGCATCGGGCAACATCGGATCGCAGGAATGTCGTAACCGAGTCGGGTTGGGCCTGAAGCAGCGGCATCGATGTGCCCTTGCGCACTGCGATGCGCGACGCGCTGTCATCTTTGCGCCCTCGCGAGTCCACACTGGAGCGAGGCAGCTCTGCGGCCCAGGCCGCGACGCGCGAATGCGGGGGGGGCGTGGGATAGGGGGGGGGGGGGCGCAGGTGCATCGGCTGAGATCGGCTCCTCCGTCCCCTCATGGGCTCTCTTGCCACATTCGTTGAGCATCGCTTCGCAAATCCCTATCCCCACGGGCGTGGCCTGGGTCCCACTGGCCGATTTACCCTTCAGATGGAGATATGAATTATTCCCCAAGAGTTTCGAGGGGCATATCCTTAAATGGGGTGGTGGGGTGATGGGGATCGGGATGGGAATGGAGATGTGGATAAGGGTTGGTAAACGATACTGACTCGTGGGGAGCACCACGCCAGCGCCCCAGTATCGGGCGCAAGCGGGGCCACCGTACCCCCCTGAGCCAGAGGGGCCATCCTGAGATCCGACGCTGGGGGGAAAAGATGCAACATCGCACAAAAGCATCGCTCTAGGGCTATCCCCATTTTTTTGTCGCAGCGCGGCAGAGGCAGAGCCTGAGAACGGCATCGCTAATTCTCCCGCGGCATGAGCGGAAAAAAAGCGAGGAAGCAACCGCGGGCGGGGGGGGAGGAGGAACCGCTCACGCGGCGGGGACCGCTGCAGAGCGGCCGGGGCGGCCAGCCGGTGTTGCACCCCTGGCAGCGGGCGTATAGGGCTGTCCAAGGCAAGTGGATCTTGCTGTGTGTCTCTCAGGCCTGGCATTCTGACAAGACAGGGCGACATTCGCTGAGTTCGGAGAAGAAGGGGAGGACGACACGGCACAGATACGCAGCACAACAGAACACACGAACGACACGACGGGAGGAGAAACATCATAATCAAACACGGCGGCGAGAAGCCGGTTTCGAAAAAGGCTTGAGCCGAACGCATGGGAGAAGGCGTGCGGCCTTCAAACCCAAATCGCGATTACCGGTCAAGAAGTGCCCATGACCGAAGCCCCGAGAACACATTTTTCTGCAACGGTTTTTCGAGCCCGCTCAAGCTGTGATGGTCCCGGTGCCCCAGACTGGGCGAAAACGCCCGGTGAAAATCTGCAAAGCCTGGATGTCAGGGCACAGAAGAATCCCCCTGGGACTGCGTCCCCTCAGGACCCCGCCGAGAACTCCCCTGTCGGGTATTTCACAACCCTGTGGTAACGCACCACGCGGTGGCCTCGAAATCCCGAAGGTGGTTCGGGCAACTGTCAGTTACTTTTTTGACGCTCCCGTCATACTTCCTCCCCCTTTTTCGCGCCCTTCCTCCTCCTCCTCCCTCCTGCTGCTCCTGCGGCTCCTCGTCCTCCTCCTCCTCCTCCTCCTCCTCATCTCCCCCGAGAGTGGGGCCCTGTAGCGCTTGGGCGGGGTGGAGCACGTGTGGGCGGAGATGCGTTGCGATCGCCAAGGCATGCGCGCAAGCACCAGCATGTCCCAAGCCGTCCCCCCTTACGTACGATCGTTACCCTTAGCCGAAGGGGGGGGGAGTCGGCCCGTGTAACGGCCGTTACGCGCCAGAGTATACAAACTACCCAGCGACGCACCCAACCCATCTACAACAACTGAGCAGGACTGGTGGCCAAAACTCTTACGGACGATGCCGTGGCAAGGACCGCGATTTGTCTGAGCTGCCTGGAGAGCTGCTGACTGGCGATGTCCGCAATCTGAGGCCAAGGACGGCCAGTCGTTGAACATCTGCGATAATGGCGCCATGCCGAAAGAAGACGGGCTGGCTGGGCAAAAGGTAGAGTGAGCCGACTTGGGAGACGGATTTTGCAAAGTGGCCGTAGCGAAGAATGCTCAGATAGAAACGAACGCCGATGACGACAACGATTCGACCTCGGTGACGTTGGTACCCCAGCGACGCAGGAATGCGCGCGGATGCACAGGTTTGGCGTGCTCCGAAACAGGTAGGCAGAACAATTTGGAGGTCTGCAAGACAACTGCGTCAAGTAATGCCCAGGGCACCCCAAGATGGCACCAGATCGCCTCATGGCGCCCTGGGCGGCACCCAGCTTGAATATCCGAAGGACTAACAAACTTTAGGGTCCAGTGAACCCCTTCCGCAGGAATGCGCGCGAATGCCTAGGCTTGGCGCGCTCCAACACGAGTAGGCGAAATAACTTGCAGGTCTGGAGAATAACTGCGTCAAGAAATGCCCAGGGCGCCTCAAGACGGCACCAGATCGCCCCGTGGCGCCCTGGGCGGCTCCCAGCTTGGGTATCCCAAGGACAAATGGACTTGCGCGGGATGATTTTTCTCAGCACCCGATAAGTGGGCAGGTCGCAGCCCCGCAGGGACGGCGGGGCTTCCCCCTCGAAAGTGGCGACTGCTTCATACTTCGCAGCCCCCCATGGATGGCCACGTCTGATCTGAATCTGCGTGGGCATGCACTATGCCTGGACCCCGCAGAGGTCCTCCAGAGTGGCGACAATTTCACATTTCGCAGCCCCCTTCAGGGATGGCGAGGTCGACATCGAATGTGCGTAAACCCGCACTATACTGGACCCACTGGCAGCCCTCGAAATTGGCGGCAGTTTCACACATCGAACCCCCAGGAATGGCGAGGTCGAGTATGAATCTGCGAAGGCCCGCACTATGCTGGACCCCCCCCCCAGTAGCCCTCCAAAGTGGCGACAATGCACCCCCCCCACAGATGGCGAGGTCTGATCTGAATTTGCGTAGGCCCGCACGATGCTGCCCCCCTGCCAACCCACGTAACTGGCAACCGTTTCACATTTCGCAGCCCCCCACGGATGGCAAGGTCGAATCTGAACCAGCGTAGGCCCGCGCGATGCTGGACCCCCGAGCAGCTCTAGAAAGTGGCGACGGTTTCACATTTCGCAGCTCCCCATGGACGGATGGCGAGGTCTAAATATGAATATGGATAGGCTCGCTTTCTAGAAGCTTTCACAAATGACGACCATTTCACACTTCGCAGCAACCTAAGGATGGATGGCGAAGTCTACGCTGAATTTGCGTAAACCCGCACTATGGACCCCCAGCAACCCATCGAAGCAGGCGAATTTCGGAGCCCCCAGGGGTGGCGAGGTCGAGTCTGAATCTGCGTAGGCCCGCACTATGCCGGACCCCACGGCACCCTTCGAAAGTAGCGACAGTTTCACACTTCGAAGCCCTCCCAGGCATGGCGGAATCAAGTATGAACTGGCTTTGGCCCTATGCTGGACCCCAGCAGCCCTCGAAACAGGCGAAAGTTTCACACGTCGCAGCCCCCAAGGGATGAACGGCAAGGTTTAATCAGAATCTGCGCAGGCCCGCACAATGCTGGACCCCCAGCGGCCTTGGAACGTGGCGACACCTTCACACTTCGCAACCCCGACAGGAAATAGGAGGCATGATGCAGCAGAATAGAGGAGGAGAGAAAAGAAGAGAGGAGTGAGGAGGGGACGGGACGGGATGTGGAGATCGCGATGCTCGATTCCAAACAAAAGCCCATCGGAGCGGTGGACAAAAAACAATCTCGGGGGTGCTGAGAAGGGACACTTGCGTAAGCAGCCTTGAGCTCACCCCTTGCCCTAAGGCCGACGAGCTCAAGGCGACGAGGGCCTCAGGGATGTACCCTTGTGAACGACTGGCGGATCATCTTCGGCGGACATCAAGAGAGCGAGAGCGACGTGCTTACCTCAGGGCACCTCGCGAAACAGACCGCGCTCTCCTGAAGAGCACGAAAGAGACCTAAGCCATAATAGGTGATGTCTGCGGCTCCCACCCCTGATCTCGCAACGCGGTGCAGCATGCCGTGAACTGAACACGAAGCCTACGAGGCCCCGATGTCTCCGTGCGCGGCCCTCCTGACCTGAAGTGCCCCCAAAAGGCAACGAAGGGTGGCGCGGGCCCAGAGGTCGTCCACGATGACATCGCCGGAATCGATGCGCTTGACGCGCAGCCGCTGGGGCCGCTCCAAATTCTCTCGCGAGGCAGAAACCTTGAGTGGTGATCAATCCCGCTGAATGGCGAGATCCACCAGAAAGCCAGCAATCCCGGCGTCCGACAGGATCTTTCTTTCCCCTCTGGCGGCCTCGGCCACAGTCTCGGAAGATACGGGCGTTCGAAATTCCACGTTCCAGAGCCCAGCCCTCGAGTTTCGACTTTCCCTGGCGAGCCCACTGGAAACCCTGGCGCCCGCTATCGGAAGCCGTCGAGCGATGCCATCATGACCACCTGGAGGCCCAGGGAAAGACTCAACAGTTTGCTCACCCCCGGCGCGAGGACTGTCCCGCATATGACAAAGGGATGAAAATAAGAACACCCTTTTGTTTGGACTTCCCGATGAGCCCTCGGAGGACGGCCGCCCACGGATATGAAAGCGACCTCCCGTCGCGCCGACAGCGCGAGAGCGGGCCCTCGGGGGTCGATGGAACCAGTGCGCCCGATGACTGCATCTTGCCGGCCGAAGCGCGCGGCGATCTAACCGGGTCTGCCGAGCGATGGTTCTGGGTCGCGTCATTATGGGCCCTGTGCTGCCCGAGCTCCATCATCCGGCTACGATTCTTGGCCACCTTCACCTGCATGTCGATATTATGGTCATGGACGGTCTGCCCCGCGTCCTCCTGCGAATAGGCCTGCCGCCCGCTCGCCCGGCGAGGCTCCAGGCAGGGCTTGGCCGGCGCAGACTGGCGCGCTGTCGGCGTGAAGTCGGGCCGCGTTGGCCGCCTCCGACGAGCATCTTGGGGGAGCTGCCGGGGCCGCCTTGGACCTCGCGCCCGGCACGTCGG